TTACATAAAAATCTATTGCATTGCATCTTGAGTTCTTTGCATATCATACTAGGCCATCTTCAAAACACTTTGATATGGATCTGACGCTCATCGTCTCTTTAGCAGCGACGTCTAGACGACACTATATTGCATACTACTTATAAGCCATGTTGTGAGTAGTATATACCACACTAAGAGAAAATTATATTCATATGATATTTTGTATGCAGTAATTGGTTTCCAATACAACAGTTCGTAAAGCATGTACTTGTCACACACAACTAAAAGCTCTATATTCAATCGCCTCATTAATGGCATCATAGATGAGTTACTTGTAGGGAATCCCATACTATCTAAAGTTTATGCCGATAATGATGATGTTCAGAAGAACACTGAATGCTTCACCACCAAAAACCATTCAGTTCAAAGAACGAGATTCTATCACAGTGTAGTGAAGGAGAACACAGGTGAGGTCAACCGAATTGTATTTATTATCTCAAATTGCAGAGTTAATTGGTAAAATAGGAAAACCATATCGCAACCGTTAATTTGCAAATCTTCAATCAATCATCAATCCGTTGTCTGACATTTCACTCACTATTCATGCGTTTCACACAAATCCCATTATGTTCTGACTCTTCTTGCTTTCTTGATCTTCCTCCATCTTCTGCTGCCAGACATTACGTTTTTACTCACGTCATATACTACTTATAAGTAGCTCACACCACAGTAGTAGTAGGAGTACAATATTTAAAAAAAATGTAAAGTTTACAAAAATACCTAATAATAAAAAACACATTAACCAATCATTGGGTTAGACCACCATTAGAGAAACCTGGAGGCATTGAAGGACAGTTGTTTCATCCTAGTATGGGACTCATCAGTGACAGTATGCATCCACGACTCCTGCACGTCACAGGATTCCAAACCCAGCACCGTCGGTATTGTGCTCACGAATGCCTAATCTAGTAAGAATGTTTTTACAATTTGCAAGAATTTCTCAATTTTTTTTGTCTTCTAATATAAACCAATTAAGTTAATAAAGTTTTAATGAAATCATAGAATCTAGTGTTTTTTTTTACAGAATAGAATAGAATAGAAAAAACAACAAACAACCACTTTTTTTGCATTTCATTTCATCATCACAGTCACCTTTTACGCTTCTTATTATTCATCAATCCAACTTGTACAGAACACTAGTAAGTAATTAACATTGAAACATCTGTTCTAATAAATTTTATCTAACGATATAAAAGTTTCTGACAGCAATTAATATTTATTTATTAATAATATGAATTGATTTGTGTATTGAAGGCTTAATTGTGTATAGTTCAAATCATTTATTATTTAATTAATTGCCTTATCAAACACAAGATAAACTGGTTGTTTGTTTGCCATAGTATGGGACTGTTGTGGTGCTAGCTACTTATAAGTAGTATATGACGTGAGTGTCAACGTAATGTCTGGCAGCAAGCAGAAGATGGGGGAAGATCAAGAAATTAAGAAGAGTGGGAACACAATGGAATTTGTATGAAACGCATGAACAACAGTGAAATGTCAGACAGTGGATCGATGATGGATTGAAGAATTGCAAATTAACGATTTACGATGTGGTTTTCCTATTTTACTGAGTAACTCTGTAATTTTCGTTAAAAATAATACGGTTGCCCCCACCTGTGTTCACCTTCACTACAATACTAGTACTACTTCTACTACAATCTTTTATTTTCTTTTCAAGAGATATTTATTTCTTCATTCAACTAGTGCAGCATAGCTTTCTTTGTTTAACACTGTCTAACTCTGTTGAAATCGAGATATTTTAAACAGAAATTTCTTTTACAAAAAAATCAATAAATCAGTTTTATTAGTGCGAATCCATTGACGATGCCTAGAAAGAGGGATTACTGTTCACTGTGAAACCTTAAAATTAGTTTTATATTGTAAATATATATATATATATTTATATATAAATCAAAAAAAGATGTTAAGCATTGTAGTGATGTTTCGTTCTCTGAGCTGGATGTTGTTTTGGTTGTAGAGCTTTCATTGTTCTTCTGTCTGAACACAACATCATCATCAGCACAAACTTCAGATAGCAGAAGTGAAACATTCGAATTTCTCCACGGCTTGTTCTGCTAACCTCGATCATGATTGGTTGGCTCAGAGAACGAAACACCATCACAATCATCCTCCACCTAAGAGAGCTACAAGTTTTCTCCACCATGTTAAGCATTCGAAAACAGAATTGATTTCTTGTTAAAATCGAGATGATTTACAACATTTTGATTAATCAATCAATACGTTTTGTGTTTGGTGGTGGTGGTGAGTTGATCCTCCCTACATACAGTTGAAACCTACCTACCTACATAGATTGATCAATTAATATTAATCAAATGTGATTAAGGCAAACAAAGAAACTCATCAGTTATATTAGAATAGATAGAAAGTGACCACCAGTAGGGGGGGAAGGCAAGGAAGGATGCGTGTTTTGCATCCTTTTTTGGGACTTGTCTTTCACTGCTTGCATCTGAGTTGATTGATATTAAACCTGTGAGACTTGAAAGGCCGGTACTGTTTACTTCAAACAAGAGTCATCGTTTCTATTGCTAGTCATATTCTACTTATTCCATGTGAATTTGTATCACAACGGCTGGATAGATAGAAGCAATCAAACTTCAGTTAAAAATATATCGGAAACAAGATAATAATTCAAACTATTTTGAAAATGGAATTATTAAATTACTGAATTAGACATTTAGTTTAAACTAATATTGTTTAACTGAATTTCTACAGTTGAAAAATATCTGGAACTCCAAACAACTTTCAACCAAAACCAAAATCAGGATTTTTAATACAGATGTCAAGACAGTTCTACTGTATGGAGTGGAAATTTGGAGAACTACCAAAGTCACCATCCAGAAGATACAAGTGTTTATTAACAGTTGTCTTCGTTGGCCAGACATGATCAGCAACAACTTACTGTGGGAGAGAACAAACCAGATTCCAGTAGAGGAGGAAATCAGGAAGAATCGGTGGAAGTGAATAGGACACACACACCACGAAAAGCACCTAACTGCGTCACAAGACAAGCCCTCACATGCAACCCTAAAGGTTGAAAAAAAAATGGAAGGTCAAGGAACACATCATGTCGAGAAATAGAGACACATATGAGAAGAATGAACAAAAATTGGACAGAACTGGAGAGGGAATCCCAGGACAGCGTTGGTTCGAGGAAACTGGTGGGTGGCCTATGCTCTATTGGGGGTAACAGGCGTAAGTAAGTAAGTAAGTAATGTTGTTTAACTAATTGAATAAAGTTATCATATGATTAGTTTGATACAAATTTGTATTGATACTTACTAGAAAAAATTAAAGCATGTTGTCAACTATGACAGAAACTTTTATTACTTACTGTATAAGTTTCAAATTAATGTATATATATATATATATATATATATATATATATATATATATTTGTTACACAATGATCTTATACAGGGATCTCATTTAATGAAACTCCTAATGTAGTCATATATGTTCACATTGATAACTATTCTCAACATGTAGAAAACAACGACTGTTCATTATTCCTTGATTTTCACAATGACACCAACAAAAACTAGAAAAATAAAACAACCTCGAACACTACATACAGTCTGACTCGTTTTCTTCCTTTAATATATTCAACCTGATCAACAAACATCACAAAGTGTATTATTAATGGGAATAAATTTTTTTTTCACAAGCATGTAAGAGTGTTTCTTAAAAAAAAATTCTACTTACTGTACGCCTGCCTATGTGAATTACATTTAAATAGCACATGGGATAAAAAGAATTGTGTGAAATTTCAGTAAAAATTCTCGCCGAAAACTCTCTCTCTTTCGGTGTGTACGTGTGTACGTGGGTACCAATAAGTATGAACTTATTACATAGATGATTTATACATAAATATAAACCTGTATTGCTTTGACCAAGTCAATAAATAATACTTTCTTTTACATTCAATTAGTGTTATTGGATTTGTGAAAAAAAGTTTTAAAAAATTGCATGTGAGAGATTCAATATTCATGTGCCAATCATAAAAAACATTCAATTAAAAATACTTACAATCTACTTATTATGACTTACTTATTAAGTACATGCTTATTTTAATTCTGACTTTGTAATATGTGTAATATCAGTAATACTTATTAATTAATAATACCTGATTATTATTTGAAATGATGTAAAACACACACAAATTCCAATGTAAAAGTTGTTTATTTCAATTAGACAGGTGTTTTAATGACAATATCTAATGACTATATATATATGGTGCGAGCTACTTATAAGTAGTATATTACGTGAGTGTCAACGTAATGTCTGGCAGCAGATGGGGGGAGAAGATCAAGAAAGGAAGAAGAGTGGGAACACAATGGGATTTGTATGAAACGCATGAATAGTGAGTGAAATATCAGACAATGGATTGATGATGGATTGAAGATTTGCAAATTAACGATTTACGATATGGTTTTCCAATTTTACTGAGTAACTCTGTAATTTTCGTTAAACACAATCCGGTTGCCCGACCTGTGTTCTCGTTCACTACACAAGTTCCAGTTAAAGTTATATATATATACATATATATACTACGGAATGGGGTCGACAACTCCACGTCCAACTTTTATCCTATATATCGAGCTTAGGACCGGCAGTAGCCAAGATGGATTCCAAGCAGAGTAAATGAAGCGACTTAGTTAATTGTAATTCAAAATGCTAAAACTATCAAAAAATTTATGTCTCACTGACAATGATCAGACAACTATTGAAAACCAGATAGCATTGGATAGATAGATATACCGTCTAAGTGTAGGACTTCTTTTCAATGCACACACACACACACACACATACATTACTTCATCAGAAATCACACCAAACAACTTCAATCTCATATTGCGAAAACTTAACTAGCGAGACATGATTTGAAAATTTAACAATCTTTTAAAAAATATTTAATTTATTAAACAGAATAAAAAAAAAGATTACTCACTTAAACTTTGAGCCATTTCATCCATTGCTAAACTTAAAGGATACCATGCAGCGGCTGCAGCTACAGCAGCTGCTGCTGTACTGTGTGGATTCATTGACATCGATGGAATTGCAGTGTTGATTGTAGAAGAGGACGATGTTGTTGTTGTTGTTGTTGTTGCTGTTGATGACGACAACGACGAGGACGATGTGTATACCGTTGAAGAGGACAATGATGTGGATAACGATGTCATAGTTAAAGATGTCATGATATTTCTTTCCAAATTATTATTATTATTATTATTATTATTACTGATAGTATTCAATAAATTCGGTATATTACTGATGAATTGATTAAATGGTAGCGCAGACATATGATTGTCAATATCCATAGTTGATGTATTCAATTGGCATGAATCCAATTCCATAGCATTATTACTATTACTATTATTATTATTATTATTATTATTATTATTATTATTATGATTATTACTATGGTTATACAATGATTGAATACTGTTCAACAATCTTTGTTGTTGATATTCTTGTCGTTGTTGTAATTCAATGCCGTTGTGAACATTACTCGTATCAAATGTATTCCATGCTAAAGGACTAGCACGTTGCATAATTTTACTAACCCCCGTATCACTAATATAGAGATAATAAAAAACACACACAAATTGCGTCAGTGATTGATGATTATCAACAACACCAATGATACATAGACAATACTTCGCTTGATTAGTATTGAATCCCAAATGGGTTATATAATCCACAATTATTTAACAGAACAAGAAGAATGTTGCCAAATGAATTGAATATTGAATAATGACGAATTGAACAATTTTCTTCTTTAAACCGCTTGTTTTTGCCTGAATTTCCAAGTGTCAATAATATATATAGATGTGAATGATTAAGTTATAATTTTTTCTCTTTTCACTGATATATGATTATTATTATTTAAAAAATTTATTGAATTACATAGAGAACAAAGTGAATTTTGAAGATAGACATTTTGAAAAGTTGGTTGGTTGAATAATAATTATTTGCAATTAAATATGTATATATATATACACATATATATGTGTGTATCCCCATTAAAGTGAATGAACGTGTGTGTGCGTGTATATGTGTGTGTATATGTGTGTCTGTCTGTATGTATGTATGTGCGTGTTATAGTGATTGCATTTATGTATTATTAATATGTGTCATTATAATTCTTTGAATGATATCTCGCCCGTAGTCTTTAATTGTATTACTACTACTACTATTAGTATTATAAGTAGTATTAGTAGTAGTAATTGCAGTGGAAGTGATCGTCACAATATTTTATTTCATATAGCAATGCACAGTACGTGCGATCATGCACAATGTTAGAAAAAAAATACGTAAACCACATACACAATGATGATGATGATGATTATTTAACCATAAGAGGAAACTAGCAATTTCAATACAGAATGAGAGATAAATTTTTTTCACTGACTGACTTTAATATTTACACAATGTATGTGTGCGTGTGTGTTGTGTGCGTGTGAGACGAAAGCGAGAGCGTGAAGAGTACGCGTTGTTTTATTTGTTAAAATTGGTGTTTTGTCTGCAATATTCTGATGACAATTGAAAGAATAAAATTAATTATATGATATTATTAATGACAAGACATGTATGTATGTGTAATTTGTTCGTCCGCATGTATGTCTCTGTGTGTACTTACGTATGTATGGTATTGTATTGTATTGTATGGATAGAGAAGTTGAAAAAAAACCCATTCAAATTGACAAATTAAATGATGAGCTGATCTAACAACCAATTAAATTATTCATAGACACGAGGTGATAAAGAAAACAGGAATACTAATAATAGATTATTTTCTTTATTTCGGTTTTTTTTTGCAAAACTCTATTCACACACACACACATGGAGTTAATGAATTTATCCGATGGTATCACAATGTATGCTTTCATGTATGAGTTTGTATGTGTATGCGCATGC